TTTTATATTCCTAAGAAGCAGAATTTATGAAAAACTTCTAAATGAGAAGAAGGAAACACTTGCTGTGGCCTTCAGCTCGACATTTAGATATACTGACGACTTTTATCAATTAACAATAGTTACTTCCATTCATACGTCGACTCGATATATCCCAGTGAATACATATAAAGTCGTTCTTGTCAATGCATCAGTGATTGACTTCAACATTGATCTGTAAATGATTGTCAGATTTTATACTTCAGAGGTTATTATATTTTTAATACGTACATGATTTGATCGATACATGTAGCTCTACACCCCTATGGTTTAATAAGAAAAAAACCCCTCAAGACATCTACCTGTATTATCAATTTTTTCTATCGCATGTTAAATTCACGATTTAATGATATAATTTCCAAATCTCATTTCAAGGGGAAAAAAAACAACAGATAAATATACCCTTAACAAGTAATGAATGTCAGAGTGATTATAAAATCACATTTTTAGCCGGGCTTTGCTGAAAGCAAAGTCCTGGCTGTAGGCATCGTGATCGACTGCCTTACTATAAATAGCACATGTTCAGAAAAGTAAACAAAAAGCCTAACAGCGTCAAAGCAGACGCTTCCGATAAACAAAATAGTCACATTGAAAGACGATTCTTAAACAAATATTTTTAACATCTCAATCTACGGAAACGATTGATCAATATTTTTGTTTGAGAATTAAATTGAAAGAGGAATTAGATATTTACGTTATTAGAGTTATCGTGATATAACAATTTGTGCACATACGCTGCTGAATGCATATTGTAAGCGAACTATTTTCAGTTAGCGCGGGCTTTTCGACAGGTTGCCTATATTGAATTGTTAAAGAATTTCATATCGTTTTCGTCGATGTTATGTGAGTGGTTATATTCTCTGTTTTGTCTTTCAGCAAATAAATAGATAAGTAAATTGGAGTTTGGAGAATTAATGTGCGTTATGCCTGAATCAATTAAGTCGCCTAGCTGACAATTGTACATGGTGTATCTGGTGTATCTAGTTGGCGATAAAAGTACTGTTTGTTTGAAACTTATAATTAAAGAATATCTCTAAAAATATGTGCATTACTTTAACTATGAATTACATAAATTATTAAACCAATATGAATTTAATTTTTTTAAAATTAAATTCTAATTCAAATCTATCTAAAGAAAAATCAGCAAACCATATGGTTCAACATTCATTAAAAAAAAGTTTGGCAATTGATAGACAAATATTTTTTGTAAAAAAAATAATTGTTTTCTTAAATGTTTAAATTAGTGACCTTAAATGTTTAAATTAGTGACATTAAATAAAACAAATGACTTATATATTCCCCTCACTAGCTATACGTTATTGGTAGAATAAAAAAAAATCATATTTTTTGTTCGTTTACTGATATTATAGCATAATTAGTCTGACCCATATTTATTTACGTCTGTGGTGATGTATAAACAGTAATTTAAGCTCATTGACAATGTCGTGATATCTGTAATTGATTTTAAGATCAGTATAGCATTAATGTGTCTTGAATGGCAAGAAATTTAACGTAATAATGAATTTCAAAACATCGGTGGTCATTTATCAGATGTAATTTGGTACGATCCTGTGTTAATTCCTGCTGATATTTTCCGGGTTGATCTTGTGAAAACAGCTTAATAGGAGACAATTTATTAAATTTTTCCTCTCAAAATAATTTAAAAAGGATGATTTTATTATTATATTAACAGTATGAAATAACAGCGAACACCGACTACTTGCAGCAAACAAGTGCGCCGCCATTACGAATTCGTAAAACAAAGAGACAGTTACGGAAACTCGTAATTTTCTGAAATGAAAAGGGGTAGGAGATCAGTGGGGTATAACCGGAAATAAACAATTTTTTTAGCCTAATGATGTATGTATGTAAATATTGACGAAGATTAATCTTACAGTCGTAATACTGGTAATGCTGAAATGTTTTCAATATATTACTACTCAAATAAAAAAGTTAAAATTTGAATGCGTTTAAAGAAAAGGGTTTGAAAATATGGTATTACTTCGATAACACTGAATGCAATTAAAATAACTTTCTCCTTTCTAATAAATAATTTCGAACAAAAATCCTTATGATGGTTAAGATCTTGTGTAAAGGTGATTTAAATGAAGTTCAAAACTAATTGTTTTCTTTCAGAATATGAAATAAACAATGCGATTCCATTTGGTTAATATTTTAATTTAAAAGTTTTAATTTAGATGACTGGGATAAAGATTTATAGTCTGTGAAGCATGGAATATAAATAAATAAAAATGTAAAATTTAAGATAGAAATTTCATGTGAATATGTTTTAATTATGTTTAATATATTAATTATTTATACACATTGAACAATCAATTTAGCGTCAAAAATTTTTATGCTTACAAATTCAGATCAAATTTTTAGTGAAAAGTCAATGGTATGTTTTGAATGTGAAAATTTTGTTTGAGACTTCTCACCTTGGATTCATCTCGTATGTGCTCCCAAAGCGCTTTACAGTATATTGAGCGTACGCGCGCATTCAAAAAAATTGGTCTAAAAACATATGCAAGCTCTCAAGGGTGCTGGGAAATAAAAATCGTTTATGTTAATATATAATTTAAAAAAATACAACATATGAAAATGTTCATTAGTCTTTATCTAAGTACAACACATTATAATTGTTCAGAAAAAGTTGGTTAGTCTTTGCTTCAAAACTTTCAGTTCAGAATGAAGAGCCATCTATGTACGAGCCATAAAGACCTGAATATATCATGATTTTCTCAGGCAATGACCATTTTGGCCGAACCTGGAACTAGACCTAGACTCATATTCATGTCATAAAAATTAGATAATTATAATTTTCGTGCAGCTGGTTTCCTAGAGGACCAAAAATAAAAAATAGTTCTTTTCTGATTAATACAGGCATGTAGTATCGTTTTTAAAGGAGAAAAAAGGAAAATTGTCCAAACCCGAGAATACTTTTCCGTTGGAGAAGGAGTAGGGGTGGGCTACAACTTACTTTCACATTTCGAATTTCATTAATGCATTACCAAATTACCGTAATTTTAATATGCTACAATAAAATGATGGGTACAATCTTATTAAAATTAGATCATCCATTTTGCTTTAGTAAATCTGTTCGTCGCTCGTGACAAATACCTGGTATATATTACGAAGAGTGAGATGAAAGTTCTAATTGAAATTTGATTGCGAAGAGTCAATCAACCTTTCAATGTACATTGTCCATTGTAAAAGTTTATGTTTGAAAAATGTTGACACCCCTAGCTCCTCCGATACTATGTGCCTGTATGAATCAGCAAAACCACTCAAAGTGCACTGTCACCATGCTTAACCATTGTGAGCTTAATGTTTAGAAAGGTATAAATGTATTTTCATTAAAAATATCACCTAGTCCTATCCTGGGGTCTTAACGTTGGGTTCTGGACCTTTAATCTTAATTATTGGTAGATGGTTTATTGTTAATCATAATCACACAAACTCTACCTGTTAAATATCAATGGTCAGAAAGAAAGATTTTCAAATATGTACTAATTTAGGATTAGACAATATACTCGAGCATATTAAAGCCCGGCTTTCAGTACTTTCAGTACTTTGATTTATGTGAAGCTGATCTAAGGAAGACAAAAAGCATGTTTAGCAAAATTACCGTTAATTCTGTCATCAGTGTGTCAGATATGTCATTTTGTCCAAAACAAATCTACATAATGGACAGCGAGACATTTGCAATGCTTTATTTTTAAAATTCAATTTTGAGCGCATTCTGAAACACAGTAATTAAATACCTAGGGACATTAAATCAGAAAACTTGGCAGATATCAGATATACTACGCATTGTTGATTTCTCCTTCTAGGAAATGAATACTTCCTGTTCTAGAACAGATAAACATAAATAATTATTTGTTTATTACCTTTCTTGTTTGCACCTATGACTACCTCTAAAGTCTTCCTGGCCGATGATCTTACGTATGGATCAACGATTGACTTCAATACTGATCTGATTATGTAGGGTTTTTGTCCAGGAGTTTTAATCAATTCAAATTTAAATTATTGTTCGGTTAATTTTGAAGAAGAAAAATCTATTTACATGTGCGCCTAGGTTTTATCATTTTTTTTTCCACAATGAAGAGCCCGCTTCTTACTCAGTCATATATATACCTTGCTCTTTATCTCAGGAAAGTCTGTCAACATGGATCATAAACATTTGTAGATTTATTAAAATGGATCTTGCATAAGCGAAAAATGTGTCTTAGCTCAATAACATATCTAGTAAAATTAATTTTTTTTAAACGTAACATAAAATCATAAGCTAATTATGAATTAGCAAAATAGTTTGTTTATGCCGTGATCTAAATAGTTACAGATGTTATCTTTGCCAAGGAGAGTAAAAATAACGGAAAGGAAGATATTTACAATGCTTTATTTTGCAAATCTCTACAACAACCAGTAAAGCTATAGAAAGTTTATACCCAAAGACTGATTATCTATTGTTTGACTATTATTATACTCATGTACTCTTGATCCTGTCATTTACCACATAGAACAGATTTACATTTTTAAATATAAACATGTTTGAAGAATACATACAAGCAATTGATATTCAGTCATATTTCTACATGTATTTGTTTACATGTGATTTTACATTTTTAAATATAAACATGTTTGAAGAATACATACAAGCAATTGATATTCAGTCATATTTCTACATGTATTTGTTTACATGTGATTTTAATCTTTCTGATTCGATAAACTCGTTTAGGTAGCATGCAGTCACAAACGATGTTCAAAAAATGCGTATACCAATGAATTTGCATGACAATCTTATTATTATGATTGAAATGTTTTGACAATTGAATACATTAAATGTTGAAATATTTAAAAGTAAATATTAACACTTGTAATGAAAATAAAAGCTTATATTAAACTGTTAATATGTTTATATCGAAACAATTACAATACTTTTGAGTGCTTGAGTATTGACTTTACCTATGCGAGTTTAAACAAAGCCAAAAAATGATCGCAGTGCTGCAAAAAATATTTTCAGAGTTTTCATCATTATACGTGGTAAGTATTGTTTTCCATTTGTTGAAAATATGTGACAACACTTTCAGAGTGATTTCCTAGTCTTTCCTGCACTTTTTTATCAAGTAGAAATAAATGCTGATCATTTTCCTTTGGGAAATAATGCCGCACAAAGTACGCCAATTTAATGACGTATTCTGCATTGGTTCCAGCTTTCCCTCGTGCCGCAACCACTTGCTTGGCGATGTGTTCCACGTCATCATGCGGATCGTCCGACATGGGTCCTACATAGAGATCATTGTCCTTAGTAGCATTAAAAACAAGAACTTTGGAGTGAACACCTTCTTCGTTGTAGAACGTGGTGTAAAATGACGTGTATCCTCCCAGCACAGTTTCTCGTACATTCAGTTTCTCTTTGACTTCCTGAATATTGGAGGATCCAACTATAGTGAACTTAACGCCCCAGAGAATATCCTAGATTTCAAATGAGAATTACAAAAACAGAAATGAGACACTAAAATTTCTCTGTTTCTTTTATTTAAATTTTTTTTATTATATTGTGATATTAAGCTGGTTATCTTTTATTACCCGGATTACAAAGAACCCCATATGTTACTCACATCTTCCTTTGTTTCATGCAAAATTGCAACTCTTCCAGGCTGAAAAGAAACACAATACTCTTTATAAAATAGAGGGATGAATTCAAAAATTATTATTGGAGAATCTTTCTATTATATGTTGACGGATAATAAACTATAAACAAACAAATAACCTTTTCCTCCGTGCCTCGATGTGTTTTATTTTCCTGCCAAAACTTCCTCTGGACACCTTTTATAAAACCTAATCCTTTCTGGGAAAACTTGAAATCATGTTTCCACAGAAGTGACCCATACCCAAAAAATTCGAATACTTCGTCAGAAGTCTCTTCGTTGTTGTTAAACATGATCTCTGAGTGTCTAAGACATCGTCGACCGTGCACGGAATTTATACCTCTCCATAAACATTTCCAGGGATAAACCCTATTAGTGGCATCTATATTTAAAATCCGTGAAAATCACCATACTTGCGAGTTTTCATAATGAACCTCTTTGGTACCTGCACTGCACTTTCAGTTTCAATTATTTCGGATGATAAGGTGACAAGTACACTTAATTAGAATTACCTTTTTAATATTAGACTGAACTTCCGGATTGCTTGGATTACAGTCATTAACCTAGACACGGTTCAAGAATTTACCACATATCGAACAAAGATATTCTTGGAATTTACTTCTACTTAATTAAAATCCAGGTTTTGTTTGTCCGACTCAATGATGTTTCTAAAACATTTATATTCTACGCAATAGCTGTTCGTGTTTAGGCGGGTGAGACCGGTCGGCAGGAGATGCTCACTCCTCCATGGCACCTGATCCCACCTCTGATGTTTGGAGGTCCGTGTTTGCTCTGCTCCTATTTTGTATTGTTTAATGGACGTTTGAGCTTGAATACTGTTCGTTATCTCCATATATTTCATCATTGCAGCTGTAAATTATATCTGACTGTAATCTTTCAATGCAGAAAAGAGACAAATTTGTGTTTACTAACATATACATGTATTTCAAATTTTTTTTTCGCTTTGGGATCTCTCATAAGATTCTTTGATGAATAATGAACTTAAGGTATAGATAGCTAATTATTCTGACACAGGAAGAATTTTTTCCTGAAAGGTACAATGATGAACTGTTCCATGTGAATAAAAATGCTATGGAACACACCCATCTTGTTAAAACTTTCTTTACTCTTATTTGATGTACACATACCACAAAGTGCTATCGGTATTGTTATTTAGTAGCTAAAGATAATTACACTTTTTTTAGCTACATCAACATGCATAATGAAGACTGACACTTTATGTACGAAAAAATTCGGTTAATAGAAATACTTTCCCTGAATAATGTAACAATCGTGTGTAACAGAAAGTCTCGATAAGAAACCGACACACCAGTATTTTTATTGCACTGTCACATTTATTTCCTTGACTTTCGTCTTGGTAACGTACTGATCGATAGGACTATTCAAGAAGTAACAACATGAATTATGATTTCAAGGGGGTTTCTTACTGAAAGTTATTTGAAACTTGACAAAGAGACATTATTTCATTTAAATGTATTAAAATATCCCCTCTCTTAATGATTTTTGAAACAATTAGCATTACTTTTAAATTAATTTTTTGGGGGAGGGTAAAACATTTGCACCTTTTTTTTTGCCTACAACACACGGTTAAACCATTAACCTTTCAGGGAAAATACATCCCGTTTTGGGATATTTAGCCACCTCTTCAATAAAGGTTTGTATAAAAATATAAATGTTAAATTCAAGTTGTTTCTTTAGCTTGGGTCTACACAAATGTTTTTATGTTAGTTTCCTTATCATTGACTTTTCAGTACTCAATCTCTAGATGGATCAGTTTAGATTATCGGGTGAAGTATGGTTAAGCTGATTAATCGACGTCGTTCTTCGCCTTTGTAATATCTTCTACCCCATTGATTTAGTTTTGCATGAAAACGAAGAGTAACGAAGTGTGAACTTCCTTAGAAAATTTAATTATTTGATATAAATCCCTTATCTAACTGGGGTCAAATTTTAGAGGAATGTGGAAAAATACAGGTTCGAAACGTGGGGATTTGGTTTCATGGTTGATTAGGAAACACATTTCTGTAATTTAAAATTAAAACATTTGGTGAAGAACATGAATTTATAAATCTCTTCATACTACTAAAAGAACAATATTTTAATTCCAGAGAAAATTAGTATTTCACAATAGACAGGTAGATACATTAATTTGCATGGTTGTCTGTCTGTATATCTATCAGGAAGTTATGACCAGGCCGAAATTCCTGAACCTTCATAAAAAGGATTCGAATTAAAGTACGTAAATGCTCATGTTAATGTTAACATGTTAACATTATTTACAAATTGAATTGTCTACGACTTTTCCGGGTTTTTATTCTCTCCTAAATCAAGACATGGAGCACATGGTGGATGTGACTAGTCGGCAGGGGATGCTCACTCCACCATGGCACCTGATTCCACCTCTGATGTTTTTGGAGGTCCCTGTTTGCTCTGCTTCCGATTTGTATTGTATTAATAGACTTTGAGCTTGAATGCTGTTCGTTATCTCAATATTTCATTTAAGTCATATCTCAAAAACTTGGTGAATATTACTGACCAAGGGGATTAGAATCACATATAGTGTCTAGGCCATAATTCATGAACTCTGGATTGGAACGGACGCAAACTTTAATATGTAATTTTGACCTTATGACTTGAAGGATTTAATCTAGATTCAAGGCCATCTCGGTCGATTGGGAAATGTAAAGTAAAATATATTCGGGTGTTAGCTTTGATTGGAATGAATTCAGTGAGTATGTTGATGCTTTTGACGCAAAGGCGTATCTTTACCTTGGCTCAAGGTCAATCTAAAAGGTCCTGTTGATGTTATCCAGGTCAAAAAATGAGTGGCCAGGGAGTGTAATTGGGGTAAAGGGGGAACATCCAATTTTTTTAAAGCAACAACTAGTTAAACTTTATGATAACAAATCCATCCATGTGTACATTAACATCATACTTTGTTAGTGTTTTTTTAAATTATCCATGTTAAACGTTGCTGCATTTGCTCTTGTCAATTCATGTCATATATTTTTTCCCTTTTTTTTGCATATATGCTATAATTTTTATATACAGTACCTATTTATATTTTTAATTTTCTGATTTATAACTTTCCAGGTGATAATATTAAATCCAAATCTACGCTACGCATGGAATCATTCAACTAAAATTTCCGACCCATGTTTTATAGCAAGATAATTTATAAGATCACCCTAGGATCAAGTAACATAGAAATGGTTAATTGTGATATCTGTCTAACAGTAACAGTGTTGTAAAATTTTGTGGGAAACTTTTATCGCAACTTCCTTTTACATTCAACCTCGAAAATGAACATGTAGGTTAATCAATGCTAATCCTTCAATGCAGCAATATTATTTTTTAAAATTAAAGTCGTCATTTTTCTTATCCGCTATTATGCTTTTTTTAAAGGATGGAATGCTACTCATCATTTATTATTTAAATACCTAAAACCATTTTTAAAGCGACAAACTTTTTTTGGATAGAAATATTTGTAGCTTAATTTCGAACTGATTTTAAAGCACAACGATTTCTTTTTTTCTAAATTCAATATACAAAATTCGAATCCATTTATTTATTTTAAATTGTTTCCCCTTCTAATAAATTGTCATTGCAAGCTTAAAATGTGTATATATTGGAAACTGAAACATGAAAACCCATTCCCCATAAACCTGAAACATTTCATAGGATTGTACTGTTATATACACAGTTTCATTACATGCACCTGGAATACAAAGTGTCAAAAGGTATTTCAACTGAGTTGCTTCTATTCATAAACATCCATACGTGCTTCCCTATCTTAATACCATGGAGTATTATTTGTTTTTCCTGGAAGTTGAATGACGTACTTAGAAAACTGCTATGTCGAGGATATGGATGTTTGTATATTTTAAGAAACGTTGTTTTTGACCATATTCGGAAAATATCTCAAGAGAATCAAAATTAACACACTGTGAGTTTTTTTTAATAAATCACCTTATTTTATTTAATTTACTTATTTTTGTTGTTGATGTTATTAAAATACTGCTTGGCTTTATTGATTGAACCTGTAAACAACATATGACCACAAATGGATTTTCCGTTAAAGGACCACTTATTGAATGCATGACTTTATCTTTTAAAACTTCTTAATATCATGATTCCATCATGGGAATTATGGCGTCTTCAGAAAAGATATCTTTGTCAAGAGAGAAACATTGGAGTGTATATATTTTGGTCTGAATTTATATATACCGCTATCCCAGTACATTTTCAAGTGTATTTAAATTACCGGTAAAACGAATATCCTGATTCAATTACTATGAACGTCAAGGGTGAAAAAAACTGAATTTATCATTTTAAAAACAGTAATGTGTCAAATTACAGGACATATTTTTTCAACATCCTCCTTAAGCTAATTATTTATTTAATATGTATAAAGTATAGCTGATAAATAATAATTGTAGGGTTATAAGAACAAAAAAGTTTTTTTTTCTTTATTCATATCTTCATTTGTTTTGAATAAAATCGAGAATCGTCCTCCATCGTCATCAAAATTGACAAACGTACGCTTTACACATAGATTAACCTTGCGGTTCTTATACGTACATATACTAAGCTTTATTCTTCAATTTTCATAGGACGGATAATTGTATTCAAAATATTGATAAGGTTTTAAAATAAGAGTAAAAAAGAGGGAAAAAAAACCTTTCCCTTCGTTCCTCGGTGTGTTTGATTCTCCTGTCAGAACTTCCTTGTAAAGCCCTTAATATAACCAAACTCCTTCCTGGAAAACTTGAAATCATGTTTCCATAGAAGTGACCCGTACCCAAAGAAGTGAAATGATTCTACATCACCGTCAGACCACTCCAGACCATTAGTTATAAAGTGTTTGCTTTTACTCTGAAATTCAAACGTCTCCAATTGTCCACTCATGTCCATCAGTTTTGTTTATAGTAATGTCCAAGAAAAAAAAGTCCAAGCAAAGAAAGTAAATCAAGTGATTCGAGTCTTAACATGGGACAAATTTTTCACCTCGATTAAAGTGTGATGTAAATTTGAGTTCTCCAATTTCATTTTCCAGTTACCCATGAAACCATCCAGCCATGTTTTGAACAAAACATTTTCTTGGAAATTTAAAATATTATGATATGTAAGGATTTAAATTTTCATGCTCTACTCCTTCATAAATACTAACAATCAAAGGAGAGGTTCTTCTTCATCTATACAGAGAGAGAGAAAAAAAAGAGAGAGAGAACCTCTTCATAGACATCATGTTAACGCATTTTGAGTTTGTTAT